AGGCTGAGGTGCAAACATTTTGGAGAATATGGACCTCTAAGTGCCCGGAAATTGCACTCTCATACTTTAAAAATCATACAGGTACTATGTGTTCATATCAACATTACGCAATTAATTCGCTGGTGTTACGCCGGTTCGAGGGTCGTTTGAACAAAACGGCAGTCTTCTTCTGTCTAAAGCATCCTAGTTAGTGCCGTAGTAAAATGGTTGGTTTATTGTTCAACACCCAGGGGTTTATTTAAGAGCCGGCGGCCGGCGCATTCGATCGGCTACTACGATGTTTTCGCCGGCTACTTCAATCAATGCTGTACAAAAATTAATACAAAAACCACCAATATAAATAGCGCAACAGGCCTGAAAGAACCTTATTTACCTACACGAAGTTAATTTGCAATAGTATGCACTAATTTCGATGTTCCTTTCTGTTGAAAGTTCGTTAAAATGTCTACCAATTCTTAGACTCCATGTTTGACTTTCATGAACTCACGGCGTAAACAAAGTTAAAGTTCAAAGTTCGGCAGTCGCGCCTGGGTGAGTCCATCAAAGAAGGCACGCCTCCAAATCACATGTTAGCCAATAAGATAATAGAAATTTCTCCTCCACCACGTGCTCAGGTGATGACGATATACATCGCCCAAACTCTTTTTCTGTACATTGGGCTTCCGGGTTTTCTTACCGCGGAGAAAAAAAAACAGATCGTCATTTTTAAATTAATTTGTGTATGACTATGAACCTTTTATTTTCATTTTATTTTTATTTTACTAGCCCTCTTTGTGATGAAATAGGTATTTCGGAAATGATAAATAATAATAATAATAATAATAATAATAAAAAAAAAAACCAACACTGGCTCAAATTAGTTTACACTCGGTGGCGGAGGTAGCAAGGCGAACCAACTATATTGAATGCTGTTTACACTCACAATTTCAGAGTTATAGATAGTAGGCCTACAATGATTAAAACGGCAAAGCAAGCCCAAATCGTCTCAATTCACGACATCACATGAGACATTTTTTTCCAATGTGGTATCCGTTCCTTTTCGATATCTGCGTAAATTTTAGAACTATGTTTTGCTCTCCTTAGATGTTTTCTTCAACGCAGATCTGGGGCGCATAGGCCTAAATGGTGAATCCCCACAAATTTCAACATATTTGTGAAAAGTAAACAACTTCATCATTATAAAAATTGTATTTTCAATTTATTTTGGTGGATTTTATTAAATGTTTATAAACTTAAAAAAGAATGTATTTCAATTATTGAATCAATATTCTGACCTTAAATTCCGATGTTGAGCTCGAAAAATTCGTAAATTCTAGGCCTATTCTAACCTACTCAGTAAGTATACTAATTAATGAGGTTGTGATCATCACTGCCTGTGATTGCACATGTGCAACCACTGTGCAGTGTATACTAAGAAGTTCAAATGGGAAACTAATTTTCCGTACCATATGACATACCACGATGTTCAATCATCATCAATCAATGTGTTTGAATCGATATTAGGCCTACAGGAAAATAATTTGTTAATAAAACATTGATAAACATTGTTCATTTTGTAGGATGCTTGAATACCATACAAAATTAGGGAATATCATATGAGTGAGTAGTGTATGTGTGTAAACTTGTCTCTTTCTTATCTGTGCCTGGGATAGCCAGCTAAGTCCTGGTCCTAGCAACTGAGATAGGCTGCAGGCTTATATGGCGCCTAAGCCTGCCAAGGCCTAGATATAGCCTACACAGTGGCTGTAGGCCTATCTAACCTAGGCTTAAACTCACGATACGATATTTTCAGCTATTGTATGATATTCCTCTCATGAATTAAATTTAGGCTTTTTGAGATTCGCGAAAGTTTAATGTCGCGAAAACGGCCGAAATTATCAATTCGCAAAAGTTTCTGGTTTACAGTATCTATTTAGGCTAGGCCTATGTATGAAGATAAGTATGAGTATATGTAAAAATATCAACTTTTTTTACAGCTCATAGTTGATTCTGAAAACTGTTTAAAACAAAATGATGTAGACTTTGTGATGTTAGCTTAAAAAACCCTTGACCCCCGACCAGGGCTTTGCCCCTGGACCCCGATGGGGGGGGGGGCCTAGGCACCCCCCCTATACCCCCGGCCTATTTCAATTTACTCTCCTGTTACTTTCAAATTTCTCCTGCTACTCAAATTCATAAATAAACCCCTGAACACCGGTGTTTGTAAAAAATGTACTCGCGCAGCAGAGTGGTCAGGGGAGTCAGAGGAAATCCCTGCCAGACAAGCGCGCGTTAATATGAAACGTCATCAATCATAGAGCTTCATGATTGGATAATTATGCTATATGCCGAGATTAACTATGAGTGGAAATATTATCCACATGTCTACGGCCATACTACGTTGAAAACACCGGTTCTCGTCCGATCACCGAAGTTAAGCAACGTCGGGCCCGGTTAGTACTTGGATGGGTGACCGCCTGGGAATACCGGGTGCTGTAGACTTTTTACATTTTCTCCCCCAAATCGATTGATGTTTACTTATTGTTCGTTAAAGATGTTTTTCTTTTTCCTTCTTTTTTTTTTCTCTTAACAGTTTCATTATGTACGGTATTTTGGCACGTTATAATCGTCAACTTTTCACTAAAAGAAAAAGGACCTGGGCCTTGCACTGAAGCGTTTGAACAAAACG